ACAGATTAAAATTTCGATTTAAAAGAATTTTAAAACGGGGGAGAAAATTAGGCCAGGCCGGCTTGCTGGAATAGGAGCACAACGGAAAGTGCGCGGATCCGGGATCCTCCGTATTTCTGGGGGGAGCTCGTTCCAGATAGTGGGTGCCCCCACAGAGAAGGCCCTCCCCTTGGGGGCCGCCAGCTCTAACTGGCTGATGTTGGATGCCAGGCGAAACAAGGCACACCCCACTCGGGGGACCCAGCGGTGGGCAGGGGGCACCACCCGTGCCAGGCCTGGTTTGCTTAACCGATGCAACTTTTTACAGCCTCCAGTTTCCTGCAGGTGGTTCGAGCCAATTCAAGCGAGCTGCAAAGGAAATGGGGACTGAGGTGGAAAAGCGAACCAAAAGTCGTGTGTGAATTCCATGGGGCAGTCCCAGACCCCCAAGGCGGGGGGAGGGAGGGGGTATTTAGGCAAGTGACATACACCTCCAGGAACTTTCTCAAAAAATTCTTAAATCTTTATTATTTCTTCTCGCCTGTCATTTGAGCCAGTCTGGAGACGTCGTTTAAGTTTTCAGCCCCTCTGAATTTTCTTCGATGGCATAAAGATGGCATCGGTGTCATCCTTTGCTAAAGAAAAGCGAGAAGTATTTTAAATACAACCAAATTCTGCCAGGGTCGAACAAGGATTTTTTTTAAAGTTATGCAGAGCCTTTGCTTTGATTCATTGAACGCCTGGCTATTCTGCCAAGCCCAGCTGAGGCAGTAAAATTTCTCCCAACGGGACGCTTGTTCCTAATAATAACAACAACAACAACAATAACAACAACAACAACAACAACAACAACAACAACAACAATAATAATAATAATAATAATAATAATAATAATAATAATAATAATAATAATAATAATAATAATTTTATTTCTATACTGCCCTTCTCCCGAAGGACTCAGGGCGGTGTACAGCCAATTTAAAAACACAAGACACAACAATGATTAAAATTTAAAATAATTAAATAGATTTGGCCACTTTAAAACCCCAAAAATTTAAAATACCCCAATTTAAAATCATTATGTTGATAGCCCGGCCTGGCGGAACAACAGGGTCTTCAGGATCTAAGAGATTCCTAAAAAAAAAAAAAGTAGCAGAATTAACAGAATTGCAAAGCGGGAAGGGACCTTGGAGGTCATCTAGTCCAGCCCCCTGCTCCAGCAGGAGAACCTACCACCATTTCAGACAAGTGACTGTCTAGTCTCTTCTTAAAAACCTCCAGTGATGGAGCACCCACAGCTTCTGGTGGCAAGCAGTTCCACTGGCTAATTGCCCTCACTGCTAGGACTCCTTCATTCCAGGTTGCTTCTCTCCTTGGTGAGTTTCCATCCGTTGCTTCTTCTCCTGCTTTGGAGAATAGGATGACACCCCCCCCCCCCACCCTTCTTCTTTGGGGCAGCCCCTCAAATATTTGGAACCCTCCTATCATGTCCCCGTCCCCCCTCCACCGGTCCTTCTTTAAAGTAGCAAAACTATGGGTGATTTCCCATTTATTAATACAGTATTATTATGATGATGATCAGCTGGAACAGAGCAACCCATGATCTTCCAGATGTGAATTTGCATAATTGTGAGTGCAGAATTTGGACGATTCTGTCCCTGTTTGGTGGCAGAGAGAAAATACAGTTGCTGCAGCCGTAATTATTAAATTACTTTTCTCACTTCCCATTCCGGGCCAGATTAAGCCAAACAGACTCTATATGAACGGTGCCTAACCCGCAATATTTATTTGCGCATATATTGAATTTATAGGACGCCCATCTCGCTAAGCTAGTAGGAAATTAACCGGTTTGGGGAGCAATACGGTTATTCGCCGATTATTTCCCCCCTTTGGAATTAAAGCAGGACGGTTTAGACGGCTAAAGTTAAATCGATTAAAAACAAACTTGTGATCAGCTAAAAAAAAAAAAACCAACCACCTACCCCTAATTAAAGCCGACCACAGAGTGTCTATTTTCGTCCCGTTTTAGTTACTTTCACGTAGACAGAAAGTTGAAACATCTGAGCAAAAATCCCTGTGTTTTTCCTTCCACTTCCTAAATCGTTTTTTGTTTTTTTTTAAAAGAAACATTATTTCTTATCTTGTGTTAAAATAGTTTATTTTTCTAACCTATTGCAAATAGAGATGTCTCTTTCTCTGGTGTTCCTTTTTTTTTTTTTTTTTTTTAAAGGAATCTTGAAATGGATGAATTTCCGTTCCCAAATTAGCAAATTTTGTCTCCTTGGCCTGCTAAAACGTAGAAGCTTCCATTGATTTGCGATTTCTTGGATCGGCCACAAACTGGACTCTGGAAAGGGCCTAAGATACTTGAAGGGGCTTGACTGACAGCTCCATGACCCCCCACTGTTAGAGAGAGATGCATTTATTTATTTTATTTTATTTATTTTATTTTATTAAATTTCTATACCGCCCTTCTCCCGAAGGACTCAGGGCGGTGAACAGCCACAAGATAAAACACATAAATACAAAAATTTAAAATAAATTAAAAACGAATTAAATAATTTGGCTGAATTTAAAATACCCCATAATTTAAAAACAAATTAAAATTTACATTTAGATTTATTTATTTATTAAACTTATACGCTGCCCATTTGGCTTCCCCTGCCGGACATCAGTGTCGGGGCGCAGTTGGGGCGCAAGAGAAGGATATAGGAAGCTTTTAAGCGTCTCCTCTATTTTCAGCTTGACTTGGTCTCCCTGTCGGGGAAGTTCAGCTCCGCCGCTCTTCCCTGTTTGGCTAGCTTTCTTCTTGCGGGGAAGAGGGGTGACCCAGCCATTTCCCACACCGCCGTCATCCCAGGGACTCTTTATACCCTTCATCAGTTCTCTTCCTGGAAATTGAGCAGAGCGGTTATATCTTCTGCTTTTCAGCACCCCCAAAAAGTCTTTAAGAGCTGCTTGCAAACCAATAAGAAGTTTAAAGGTAAAGCTTCCCCTCACACATACCTGATAGTCGTTCCCGACTCTAGGGGGCGCTGCTCATCTCCGTTTCAAAGCCGAAGAGCCAGCGCTGTCCAAAGACGTCTCCATGGTCATGTGGCCGGCATGACTCAACGCCAAAGACGCACGGAAAACGCTGTTATTACCTTCCCACCAAAGGTGGTGCCTATTTTTCTACTTGCATTTTTTTTACCTGCTTTCGAACTGCTAGGTTGGCAGAAGCTGGGACGAGTCACGGGAGCTCACCCCGTTCCGCGGCATTAGGGACTCGAACCACCAAACTGCCGACCTTTTCGATCGACAAGCTCAGCGTCTTAGGTCCCGAGCCACCGCGTTCCTTATAAGAAGTTTGTCTCATCTTAAATTTAGGTTCTTAACGCGTGTTCCTTGATTTGTTTGAAGGACCTGCTCCATCTATTGGAGTTTATTAACCAAAATAACGAGAGTTGGAAGGGACCTCAGAGGTCTTCTAGTCCAACCCCCTGCTCAGGCAGGAAACCGGAGACCATTTCAGACAAACGGCTTTCCAATCTCTTCTTTAAAAACTTCCAGTGTTGGAGCATCCACAACTCCTGGAGGGAAGCCAGGAGTTGTTTAATTGTCCTCACAGTTAGGAAGTTTCTCCTTAATTCCAGGTTGCTTCTCTCCTTGGTTAGTTTCCATCCATTGCTTCTTCTCCTGCCTTCAGGGGCTTTGGAGAATAGGGGGAAACCCCCCCCCTCTTCTTTGGGGCAACCCCTGGGATTCACCAGGGTCTCCAGCTCCAAATTTAGCTTCCATTCCCAGAGGCTGTCCTCCTCCTCATTCCAAAGCTGGCCTTCATTCATTCATTTATTCATTCATTCACTCATTCATTCATTCATTCCACCAGGGCAGAGTGTACCCAGGGGGCAGCCACCTGTTATTCCAGATCGGTGTGCATCTCCAAGGATCCCTGAACCGTAGGACAATTTCTGATTGGAGTCAGGTCTATCCAGCCTAGCTGAGGAGTTTTACTCCGGGTTTACTTCACCTTGGCAAACTTTTAAGACCCACGGACTTCAACAACTCCCATGAATTCCGGGGCCTCGAAGTTCACGGGTCCTTAAAAGCCGCCACGTGCGAGGAAAACTCCGCTCCGGATGGCAACGCCAAGCAGCATATCTCATTCTGATGGGTGGCACACGCATCCAGATGTTCAGGCTGGATTTGGCCTCCCTGCCCACCTCTCGGGAGGCAGATGTGGCGGTTTCGTAATACGGAAAGAGATTCTTGACGGATGTCAGCTGTTCCGCGCCCAACGCTGCCTTTCGCAAGCGATTCCCTGGAGATTCGTGTCGGCGTCGATTATTACGACCACGGATGGGAAGGTGGCACCTGGCACCTCAGCACATCTGGAACGGAAGAGAGAGATCTCATCCCCTGGCAAGGCCCCCACTCGAGGCTCGGCCTCCTGTCACACGGCGACTTTTTAAATTTTATTTTTTTTTAAAAAAAAAAAACGGAATTGCCTGCCACTTGGTCAAAGGCCCCTGTGTACCAACTCAGCCATTGGCACCGTCGCCTTGCCAGTGGCTTAAGCCGGGTAGAAATCCTTTGCCCATCCTTTGGGGGGTCTCCGCTCCTTCAACCGCTCGTCCTCCCCTTTTCCCTTCCCTCCTCTTCCTCCCCTTCTTCCGAAGACCCCGGCAGGAAAAGTTCACACTTACGAATGAGAGGCCAAATTTGGCGGGGTGCCAGCATCTCCTTTCCACTTGGGGGTGGGGGGGGCGGGCCGAGCCAGCGCCCCCCCCCCCCCCCCTCCAGTGCCAGCCGAGGATCAGAGGTGGGCGCCATAACCGGGCACCGCCTCTGATGCCACCGACCAACTTCTTTCTTTCTTTCTTTCTTTCTTTTTTTTTAAAAGCAATAATTCCATGTCCTGAGGTTAAAAACCGGCTGCAACTGGTTTTATTTTATTTTTTTATTTTTTTATTTTTTTCCCCCCCCTCCTCTCCCCTGCCTCCGCTAGGCATCATGGGTAAATGTTACTCCTCCTCTCTTTCCCTCTCTCTCCCTCTCTCTCTCTCTCACTCACTCTCTCACCCCCCTCCCCCCCCCTTTCTTTTGTTTAATATAACGGCACCACAGATGATTGGCAGCGACGTGCCCGTTCGGCGGCGGCTGGGCTCGGGCTGGTCCCTGGAGGGGGATGGCACGCCGCGGCCACCCCTCTTGCACCGAGGGGGCTTCTGGTGGTGAGAAGGCCCCCCGGCTCACCCCTCCTCTGCCCTCTTGGCGTGCTCCGGCTTCCCCTCCATCTGTCTGCCTGGCCCCCCCTCCAGACAAGTCAAGGAGGGTTATAGCATACGCTACCTGTAAGTATCCTTTGGGGGAGTCCTTTTTCTGCTTGCTCGCTCCCCCCATCTCTACCCCTTCCTCCCTCTCTTTCCCCCCCCACCTCTTTCTTTCTTCCAAACCAAAACAGTGCACCCCTCAAAAAAGGAGGGAACGGGGGGTGGGGGGGTGGGAGAAGGAAATCAGCTGAGACTTTCCCCCAAATTCTTCTCCATCTTCCTTCTCTCTTCAACAGTGAATTCTTTCTATTTATTTTTTTTCTCCACCCCCCCCCTCCCCTCCCTGAATTCGGGGCGTCGTTTTTTTTTGGCCACCCCTCTGCCCCCCCCCCCCCGGTCCTGGAAGTGGTGGGGAGGGGGGTCCCCACACCCACCCCAAGATCAGAAAGGTGGGGAAGGGGGAGTGGGTTAAGGAAGCCCCCCCTCCCCGAGTGTGGTCGAACGTCTTCTATTGTCTGGCGTGCTGATAGTTGGATCGAATGCCCCCAGCCTTCTCCTCTCCCTCCCTTGCGGGCCCCCCCTTCCTCCTCTTCCTCCTCCTCCTCCTCCTCCTCTTTCCCCCCTCCCCTTCCTCTCTCCTTCATGTCAGCTACAACCCAAGCTCTGTGAATGGAAGGCACAAGGCTGACGAGGGAGGCAGTGCGCGCTCCTCTTGGAGGGGGGGGAGGCTGGCCGGCTGCCAAGGGCTGGAAATCTGGCCGTGTGTGCGCGTGTGTGCGCACGGGAGCGAACACACACAAAAGCAACGCGTGTGTGCAAAGAGAGCGAGAGAGAGAGGCGAGTAGGAAGGGCCTTCCCTTGCGGGCCCGAGGAAATCACAGCCCTCTTATATAAGGCGGGCTGCGTCACAGGAGGGGAAGAAGGGAAAGGAGTGGGCTGGAAACCCACCCACCCCTCCTTCCTTCCCTCCATCCATCCATCCATCCATCCATCCATCCATCCGTGAAGCTTTGCATTTCCGTCTGGAAAGGGGAGAGCCGGTCCCAACCTGAATTTTTATTTTTCCTTTTTTTCCCCCTCCTCACCTTTCATGGGGAGGGGGTGTCCAGCCCCCCACCCCTCACGTAAACCCCCTTCCCCACTTCTCCCCTCTTCCGCCCTTGGCTCAGGAATCGAAAATATCGCGGGTTGATCATTGCAAAAATTCCTGGGCATTTTTTTCTCAGGGTTTTTTTTAATTTATTTATTTATTTTTGTTCCCTGATTTTGGATTTGAGTCTAGGGAGTCTTCCAACTTCCAACCGTCCGTTTAGTGACCAAAGTGAAAACGGCACTGAGAAAAATGTGACTTAACGACCGTTTTCCGTACTTACGACCGTTTTCCACGCTTACAACTGTCGTGGCGTCTCCACAATTATTGGGATTTTTAATTGTCTCGGGCTAAATTATTTAATTTGGTTTTAATTATGTTTCTAACTTTTGTATTTATGTGTTTTATTTTGTGCCTGTTCATCGCCCTGAGTCCTTCGGGAGTAGGGCGGTATATAAATTTAATAAAACATAAAACATAAACAAACAGTCAGGGGATCAAAATTTGGCCGCTTGGCCACTGGCTCGTATTTATGATGGTCGCGGAGTCTCCCGGGCGGGGGGGGGCTGTCCCGCAATCCCCTTTTGCGACCGTCTTGAGCAAAGCCAATGGGAGAAGCCAGATTCGCTGAACAGGCCATGCTCACTTAACAACCGCAGGGATTCCCTTAACCACGGTGGCCAGGAAACAGGGCAAAAGCTCACTTAACAACTGTCTCGCTTAGCAGTGGAAGTTTTGGGCTTTGGATTGCGGTCGTAAGTCGAGGACTACTTCACGGAGAAGTTGGGGTTTTAGAAGGTTTTGGAAGACCCGGGCCACGCAAACCCCGTGCTCACTTCGGCCCATGGACTTTCTGTATCCCCTACAAGGCAGGAGTCTTGCGTGGCACTCTGTGCATGCACAGTGTCCATCCGCTTTTGCGTGAAAGTTGTCGTCGCGGCTAGATTTAAGGCGGGTGTCGCATGTTTTGGTGAACATCAGAACGGACGATGCTGGCGGGATTCTGGTCCCGTCTTTCTCAACCCTCAGCAACGTTAAAACGTTTGGACTCCGACTCCCAGAATTGGTAATACAGGTTGTTGTCGACTTACAAGAGTTTGCTTAGTGACCGTTCAAAGTTACGACGGCGGTGAAAAAAAGAGCCTTTTTCACACATCCGTTGCAGCCTCCCCACGGGTCACGGGACGCTTGGCAACTGATTCAGATTTATGACGGTCTCAGCATCCCGGGGTTGGGGAGCCATGATCCCCTTTTGCGACCTTCCCCCAACCAGGGAAGATGGATTCATTTAACGACTGTGTTAGTAATTTCACAGCTGCGGCGATTCGCTTATTAACACAAAACGTGGCAGGCGAAGGCCGTAAAACGGGACGAAACTCACTCCACAAACGTCTCGCTCGGTAACGTAAATTTTGTTGCTCCGTTGTGGTTGTATGTCAGGGACTTACCTGTCTCGCCATCGGAAATAACTCAGGCTCCAAAACTTGGCCGACTTTCGTCGCCTTAACCCTTCGCGCCGTAATTTGTAAACTTCCGACGGCGGCCTTGCGAAATGCTCCGTTAAAAAATTTCCTGCGCGTTCGTGGAATGTATTTTTTTTTTCATTTTAAGCGAAATTCCGTTTATAGAGAAATTGAGCAGAATTTCCACCCTTCGTGTCCCAAGATCACCTGGTCCCTTTTTTGCGAACTTTCCAACCAGCCAAGTCAAGCGGGGAAGGGAGATTCGTTTAACGACCTGGCGACTAATTTACCGACTGCGACGATTCACTTAACAAATTGTGCTTGAGGCCGGTCGTAAAATTGGGCAAAAACTCACTCAATGACTCACTTAACAACAGAAAGGTTGAGTGGCACAACAGACCGAAAACAACAAAGTTGTTTTTTGTTTTTTTTTTGTCTCTTGGATCTGGAGATCGGAGTCAGAGAAACTTTTATCAAAGTCGTGCGAGGAATGCCGGAGTTTTTATTTGCTCCGTTGGCAGATTTCCTTCTTTATGTTTTGAAGGGGTTTTTTTGTGTGTGTGTGTAGCCTCGATTGGTGGTGTTTCTCTAAAATTATAAATGGAGTGGTTTGGGGATTCGTGCCTCTAAATTGCATTTTTTTTTAAAAAATGCTTTAAGAGAGCCGGTGAGTTGGTCTTTAGTTTTCGTCCCCGTTAAGCAGTATAGAAATTTGGGTATGTGTGTGCTGTTTTGTTTTTTTTTTAATTCCCTGCACGTACAAAATTAAATAAAAGGAAATCAAAATACCCACTTTTCAACAAGCAGGGCTAGCATAAACATCTAAATTCTATGCCAAGGTCTTAGCAGATACACCAAGTTGACTCAATTTATTATTTACTGTTTATAAAAAATAATAATAATTATATGTATATGAAATCTTAATCTGTTCACCGCCCTGAGTCCTTCGGGAGAAGGGCGGTATAGAAATTCAATCAATCAATCAATCAATCAATCAATCAATAAAGGTAGATTTTTTTTAGCTCTGCATAACTTGGAATCAAGTCTTGGGAAAGCAGATAAGCTTCTAGTCCACTGATTTTCAAGCTCTGGAATTTTTAAGATGGGTGGACTCCAACTCCCAGAATTCCCCAGCCAGCCATGCTGGCTGGGGAATTCTGGGAGTTGGAGTCCACCCATCTTAAAAGTTGTTGAAGTTGAAAACGCTCTTCTAATCTCTCATTCTTTTGCATCAGACTGGCGGCCTCCCCACTCCTCCCTCCCCCCAGGTGTGTGTGTGTGTGAGACACACACAGACACCCCAAAAGTGTGGGTTATGAAAGCCATTTAATATTCCAATTAACCGGTGGGACAGCTTGCCTCGAGAAATTGTGAATGCTCCAACACTGGAACTTTCTAAGAAAAGATTGGACGTCCATTTGTCTGGAACGGCTTAGGGCCGTGATGGCGAATCTGTGGTATGCGTGCCACAGGTGGCACGCGGAGTCATATCTGTGAGCCATCACCCTAGATCAGCTGTACCGCACATGCGCGTGCCGGCCAACTGATTCTAAGGCTTTTCGGTCCCACCGGAAGTCGGGAAACGGACCGTTTCCTGTCTCTGGGGTGGTAGGGAAGGCTGTTTTGGCCCTCCCCAGACTCCAAGAAAGCTTCTGGAGCCTGGGGAGGATGAAAAACGGACCTACCCGGCCATCGGGTGCCAAAAGTGGGGGGATCACAGAGGGGTCGCATGCACATGCGTGGGGGGCCGGGGTGCATTGAATTATGGGTGTGGACACGCACACGCGTGACCCCGCCACCTCCGCTTCCCCTGCTTTTTGCACGCGACGGCAAAAAGGTTAGCCGTCACTGGCCTAGGGTCTCCTCTCTTGGGGGTTGGACTAGATGACCTCCAAGGTCCCTTCCCACTCTGTCATTCTGTTAAGATGCCCACCTGGGACCGCACTTCTTTTTCTCTGTGACTCCTTAGGCCTTAGTTCCTTTCCTTGAGTGCCTCTGAGCATAGGCAGAGATTTTCACTCTTCCCCCCCCCAACAAAATACAGGATGGGTTCCTGTCACAGCTGCTGGCCTCCCCCGAAATGGGCTCTCCTGTTTATTTATTAATTTTTATATATATATATATTTCATTATTTTTTATTTATTTTAGTTTGTGTGTTCGAAACGAACACACAAACACACTCAACACCCCATCAAAGCATGCCCCGGTGCCAATCAGGGCTCAAAATCTTACCGTGCGTCGCTCGAAGAAGTAAGCCTGGCTACGTCAGCCCTGCCTCCCTCCTTAAATCAGTTTCCTTAGTCTAAATTTGAGCAGGTCTTTTTTTTAAAAAAATAAAAAACCTAGTGTGTCTTTCTAGGAATTTCTCTCCACAGGTCGCCCTCGACTTAACGACCAGAGTTGAGCCCAAAATTTGTCTCGCTTAAGTGAAACGTGTGAAGTGGGGGGGGTTGCTCCGTTTTACGACTTTCCTTGCCGCCGTTATTAAGCGAGTCGTTGCCGTTGTTAAGCCAGCGACGGGGTCGTTA